TAGCATTTTTATTATTCTGTGAATTTAGAAGATCTAGACTTTACGCTGTTCCCATTCTAGATAAGTGATGGGTGAAGGACAGTCTGAATTAGGGAGATCACTTTGAAGTAGGAGATCTCAAATACGGTGCCGTCCTAAAATCCCCCTTAAATTCCCTTAAACAGCTTTGTTTTTTTTCTCGCAAGACAGTCTCGTCGCTGATACTTTTTCATTTATAAATACTCTGAAGGATTTTGTCTGCGTTACTTGGTTTCACGCTCCAGCGGATTCTCCTTAAAGTTGCCGAGCCACCATTGCTCCTGCTTCTTCGGGCACGCGTAGTTCGTCATGGCGTGAGGACCTACCTGCGAGCGGCACATCGGGCAATGGTACTGGAACAGTAGCCACTCAAAGATACACTCTCGGTGGAACGAGTGCTTGCACGGGAGCGTCACAAGACCGTGCGGACCATCGGCGTGGACGTGGTCCTCCACGTCCTCCAGACAGATCATGCACTGCGGGTTCTCTACCGTGACGGTGGCACCCTTCTCCTCCGCCTCCAGCTCCATCTGAGCCAGGTTCGGTGTCGTGGCAGACTTCTTCATCGAGTTCATCTTTTTCATGCCCAGACTGGCGTGCTCCAGCGACGACAGACCCGTGTGACTAACAGACTTCTTCATGCCGCCCTGGTGGTTGTCCACGTACACCTGCAGCAGTGAGCGCTTGTCCGCGTCATCCTCGATGCCTAGGAACTCGAATACGGCCGGAGGCAGATGCTGACGCGCGTGGAAGCACTTCATCGTGCTGCCCGGAAGCAGCACCGATCGCAGCAAGTGGACCAGCACGTTCTTGAACTTAGTCTTGCGGTCCTCCACCATGAACGACCACGTCGACATGATGCCGGCCTTCTTTGGAAAGCACGCCTCGATGAGATCACGCAGAGATTGGCATGAACCCTGGCATTTCTCGTCTTGGCACGTCCACACTTCCTCCACCTGGTTGCGGAACGCCAGGAACTCCGAGTATCGGTACGACGCGTACCACCTGTTCTGCGTCGATACGCTCGACGTTGTGAAGTTATATACGGCGTAACCCTCCTCCTTCTTGGTCGCGCTCACGTCCAGGTGCAGCGGCAGCTCACTGCCCGCACAGTGACGGAGTTCCTTCATTGTGTACATCTTCGAGTTCGGTCGCTTCGGCGCCTGCGGTGCCGGCTTCTCGTGCGGCTGCGGTACGAAGTATCCGTTCATGATGGTTGCTTGGTGCGTGGTAAGTGTTGATCTGACCAACAGATGGTAAATTGCAGAATGAAAAGACATATAATAGCACTCTTTCCGAAACTTAAAAAAAGCGACTCTGGCGGGACACTCCTCGCCCTGTCCACACACAGATTCGTCTCCGAGCAAGCAAGACAGCGACACTGTGTCGCTTGGCCAGTCGACCCCCAAAACATGAGACAGGAGCAGATCGTCATGATCTGCAGTGCAGATTTCGCAAACTAAGCACCAAAGCAGTGACGCGCCGTCTACCTGGCGTCCGCCAATCATTCCGAAAAATGGCAAGTGTTGCGTCTAGTGATTGGATCCTCCTGGTGCGTCACGCCAGATTCGCAATACAGTATACACCCTTGGGATGCGATATCAAGTCGGTTGGACTTCGCTTTTCGCAAAGTGCCTGATGTGTTTTCGAGGCTTTGAGAACGGCAAGCGAGCTCTTCAGGGCAACCCAGTGGATGAAGTAGCACCTGCGGGTGATATTTGGCTTACACAACTCTTTAAGGCCATGCATACGGCGCAAGGCGTGTTGGATGGCGCGCATACATGCATTTGAGCAGCGTCGCGCACACCAGATCGAATACCGGCACTCCCGACATGTCAAGTCCATGTATTATTTAATACTAATAGTGACTGGGCGTCGAGCGATCCGAACCCAACTCCTGGTGCACACGATAATGTCCTGATCTCAAACTGGCGTTCGAGCGGTTCTCCACTGCAGCAGATTTTTCATGGCATCATGCGGGGCTGGCGCTGCGATGAGGATGCCAATGATTCTAGAGCGGGTGGCATCCCAAGCCTGAGCTTCGTGTTTTGAATGGAATGTCGGAGCGCTTATCAAAAATGCTGAAACACAAGTACCGTAAATCGTTTCGATCGTCACACAGTAATCAAAACTGAAGTTGGCCCTGGCTATGGTGAAGATCAAATTTTGTCAACTGAAGTACATGTATCAAATCGAAGTATGTAGTACTACTGTACTTCTATCAGTAGTACATGTAAGTTACTGTGCACTCAAGCAAAGAGACCAGGTGCTATTAATAGAAATTTGAATAATAACCGGACAACAGATATTTCATCACTACTTTATTTGGCTATTAAGATGCAGCATTAATACTTTGTGGCTCAATTCAATGTATCATCTTTGAAGTTTCCAAGCCACCACTGCACTTGGTTCTTCGGGCGGCAGTAGTTAGTCACAGCAGAAGGGCCCACCTCGGCTCGGCACACGGGGCAATGGAACTGAAAAAGCAGCCACTCGAAAATACACTGGCGATGGAATGCATGTTTGCATTGGAGAACGATAGGAGAGTTACCATTCAGACCACTTTGGTGGGGGATATCCAAGTCTACGTCCTCCAGACATATCATACATTGCTCCACATTGCACGAGTCACCCGAAGTCGTGGTCATAGCCAGTGACGACAAGTTCGGTGTGGTTGAAGACTTCTTCATGGAGCTCTGGTGTTCCAGCATTGACAAATCGGTGGTAGTTGCTGACTTCTTGATACCGGGAGGGTGGCTGTCCACAAAAACTTGCAGAAGCGAGCGCTTATCGGCATCATGCTTAACGCCAAGGAACTCAAATATATTGGTAGGGAGCTTCTGACGCGCATGGAAACACTTCATCGCACTGCCTGGGAGCAGCACGCAGCGGAGCAAGTGCACCAAAACATTTTCCAGCTTTGCTTTGCGGTGATTCACTGCCCCGAACCAAGTCGACAGAATCGGGGGGCGTTTCTTGGGAAAGAAGGCAGCCATGACATCACGAATGGCTTGGCACGAGCCACAGCAGTCTTTGTCCTCGCATGTCCACAGCTCCTCCACCTTGTTGCGGAAGGCAAGGAACTCCGAATACCGGTAAGAGACACCCCACGCATTTTTGGTAGTCGCACTCGAAATGGTGCAATTGTACACTACGTAGTCGTCTTTCTTGGTGGCTGACGACACACTCACACGGAGCGGCAGGTCTTGATGAACGCAGTCTGCCAGTGTCTTCAGGGTGTAGTTTTTGCAGTTGCCGCGTTTCTCGAACTCCGCGATCTGCGGGTCCTGCTGTTGACCAGTGGAGTTTGGTTCTGGAACGAAATAGCTGTTCATTGCTATTGTCCAGCAAACGGCAAATTTTAAAGTGAACGATTGTGGCGGATGTCAGCTCGATTGCTGGACCGGATTTCACCAAAGCGGCGCAGCCTGTCGTCTTTAGCTACACATTTACCAAAGCTGCAATAATTAGCATGCCTACCGGTAACAGCGCAACAGCCGCAAAGTTCAAAGATTCCCAATTGCAAAACAAACCGCATCTGGCTGGTCGACGCGAGCACATCGTGTTTCTGCAGTCCTGAAGAAAAAAAAATCATGTGACGCGCACGCTTCAGCCAATATTAGCGAGCGAATACATGCCTAAGTCATGGAGGCTTTGGTGCTTGGTGAACAGGCGTGTGGTCCCGCACCGCCGCTTCCGTGTAAAGCAGGTTCAGCTCATAAAGGTAGGGTTAATGACGTGTACTTGCGCGCCAATGGAATCCAGTGTTGCAAGTGCTTTCCTCCGCCCATTGGTAAATTACGGTCGACGCGCCATGCAGCCCTTTCTACACGTGAGCAGGACGCGCTTGACTGTCTCATGTGGCTCGCCAGACTGGGCTGCACTTGTTGCCTGGTCACATGAGTCGATGTGACGGCCGACCACAGCATGATGTCAAGATTCTCGAGCACACACGTGTGCTCGAGAATCTGCCACAACGTGGCATCATGGTGAGCTGCATTCACAGCTCTTGAGGAAAAATAAAAGTGGGATCGATTTAACGGGCAAAAACACACACGCCGCAGCAGACCGGAGCAAAAAATCGAGGCTGTCACTTTTCAATCACGATTTTTTTCTTTGGTCTTGTACTACGTGTACAGTACAGTACTAAGCTCGGCTAGACATCAGCGCTTGCATACCGATTCATCGACTCATCGATTCATCGATTGCCGTGCGTGACATGGAGCTTCTGTACCAGCCTGTCGTGCTCTGCGAAGCTCGAACGCGGCATGCCGTGATGGGCTGATTAATAATTTCTGAAGTTGTCCCGACTTTGCTTGTATGTCGCTTTTGGCTCGAAGTTTCTGTCTGGCAGACCGACAGTGTCTGCACTGCAAATATAGTATTGTACGTGTATTACATGTAGACCGTCTACCAAACAATCCCTGTCGACCGCAACAATGCGGAAGAAGACTACTACAGTACGTTGGAAGGGATATGGAAAGCTGACGCCAGCCATTGCCAAGCAGCTATTGAGCGCATCGCGTGCGTGAAATGGCATGAGCCGCATGATGCGGCACTAGCAGATGCTGGAGATACGCCAGCCCGCCACGATCCAGGTGATTGTTGCTGGTACTACTGTGTACTACTACGTAGAACTACATCGATTGCTGGAGGGTCATGCAGCAAATGCGCGGACAATGTCGTTGGCGGTCACGTCGCATTAGACGTGCTACGAAACCAGATTTTGGTACAAGACCTGCCCACTGACGGCAGTATAATCTCCTGTGTTGCGCGAACGTTTCCCAGCGATCCCTGGTTTATACCTACTGCAGTCTGTCGTTCCTTTTTCTATCAACCTACGCACTCACCCAACACGGAGCTGTAGCAAATGGATCCTCCGTACAAGTTTCTCGTCAGTATTCGCCCTTCGTCATCTTTCCGTCTCCGGCTCACACCCTCTTGAGTGCTTGGAGTTGCTGTGCTGTGTCTTTGCAACGTTTCCAGCGGAACAATACCTCCTCGAACTGGCTCAGCTGTCTAGCACAGAACGATGCCGACCTTGTTGCCTTCCATCCGCGGGCAGCGCCAGTTGTACAGATAGTACATGAGGTCACCATCTCCAGGGCCAAACTTGAGCTCCTTGAGGAACTCCATGTTGTCCATGAGGCTGAGCGCATTGAAGACGTCGAAGTCCTCCTTCCTGGCCATGATCAGCGTGTCGTTCATGAGCTCCGTGAGCGGCACCGACGTGGCCACGTTGTAAAACGAGTACGCCGCGTTAAGCTTGTTGTGCTTGTCGTGACCAATGACAGTCGACGGCAGGTGGTAGAAGCTTGTAAAGTCCGTGATCTTGTGGGTCTCGGGGTTCTCCACCACGTACGCGTTGATCACGCCTTGGCGAGGCAACATCCAGTGGGCCACGTCATTCTGGTCGTACTGCTGGACAAGATCGAACTTAGCCAGATACGTCTTGAGCAGCGCCGTGACCTGAGCCACATCCTTCTTCTGCATGGGTCGGAAACCAGGCACCGACGTGGTCTCTGGCAGTTTGAACATCTTGATGGTGCGCGTCATGGTCATCCTGGGCGCCAGTCTCGAGAAACCAACTTCAATGAGTTTCTTGGGGTTGAGCGAGCGGTGGAAGTAGCGACATTGAGCCACAGGCATGGGCAGCACCACTCCAGCCGTATACACAGCCTGCCATATGTCTCGGAGGTTGACACGACGCGTGATCTCCTTGATGAGCACAGGCGCGAGTCTCTTGGTACGCAGTTTCTTGTGCACACAGAGGAAATTAATCTCGGCCATAGCCATCGTCTCCTTATACACACGCGTCTTGACGGGGATGCCACTGATAAAGGCCATGAGTTTGTTGGTCTTTTGGTTGCGCACACCCACGTGCCAGTCCTTGTGGAAGCCAGGAGGGGTGAGAGCCCACATGAGGAAGTCAATGGAGTAGTCAAAGCGAAACATGTTGTCGTCGTCCTCGACGTAGTTGTGTGTGAGCAGGTCGTAGACCTCCTGGGCCTCGTTCTGCTGGGTCAGATCGATCTCGCTCCACACGAAACCCGGAGGCATATTGAACGGCTCCTGGCGCACATCGCTTACGCTCTTGGGGGGATCGATAGCCCCGTGTTCACGAGGGAACTCGTCCAAGGCCGGCACGGGCTGCGTCTTCCAGAACTTGAAATCCTTCTCCGCCGCCAAGGCGTTGCGGTCAGGTGGCGCCTGCTGCGACGTTGCCAGGTTCAGCTGCTTCAGTACTTGCAGGAACTCCTCCTGCTCTTCGACCGTCACCAGCTCCAGCTTGTCGTCGGGGTTGCCACCCGCGGGTGGGGGAGAGCTGCTCATGTTTGATGCGGATCTTGCTGTGGACGGCGGGAACTGGGATCAAAAATGGTCAATTTGGTCGGACTAAATGCTAGCTGTCAAACCGCCGAGCCAATTTGCTGTAATCCCTTTTTGGTCCGACCAAAAGTAGATAATCGAGTGGGCCCTTCGCTGGGTACACTTCCACCATGAATCAGGACGCGGAACAGGAAGACTTTGTGCGCTTATTGAAGCAGCTGAATCTCGTCCAGTCCGTGGAGCAGGCCCAGCAATTGGAGAAGGAGCATCGCTTTTGGGACACGCAGCCAGTACCCACGCTGCAGGACCAAAACGGTGGAGATAGTCCCGACTGTCCTCGTGGACCCATCGATGTTCCCCAAAAGACACCCGACCAAGTCCGACAGGAGCCGTACCACATGCCTTCAGGTTTCACTTGGTCCATCCTCGACGTGATGGACCCTTCTCAGGCCAAGGAACTGTACGAGTTGCTCTCCAACAACTACGTGGAGGACACTGACAGCACCTTCCGCTTCGACTACTCCGTCGACTTCTTACAGTGGGCTCTCACCCCTCCCGGCTACCATAAAGACTGGCACATTGGGGTACGCAGTACACACAACAACCAGCTCATGGCCTTCATCGCGGGCATTCCGGCTCAACTTCGGGTCTACCACGAGACTTTGAAGATGGCAGAGATCAATTTCCTGTGCGTCCACAAGAGGCTAAGAGATCGACGCTTGGCTCCTGTGCTGATCAAGGAAGTGACACGGAGAGTGAACCTCCTTGATATCTGGCAAGCAGTGTATACGGCTGGAGTGGTCTTGCCCATGCCGGTGACGCAGTGTCGGTATTTCCATCGGTCTTTGAACCCAAAGAAACTGATCGAAGTGGGGTTTTCTCCTCTCCCTCCTAGGATGACACTGGCACAGACGATCAAGACGCTGAAGCTGCCTACGCGCACATCGACACTCGGTTTTAGAGCAATGGAGCGGACCGATGTACCTGCAGTCAGGCGGTTGCTGAGGGATTACCTGGCCAAGTTCCATCTCGCAGCGGAGTTCAGTGAAGAGGAGGTGGCGCATTGGATGGTGCCGCGTGTTGGAGTCGTGAACGCCTACGTGGTGGAAGATCCAACAACTCAAGAAGTTACAGACGTATGCAGTTTTTACCACTTGCCGTCGACGATCATTGGCAATGACAACCACAAGAAACTCAGTGCCGTCTACTCGTTCTACAATGTGGCCAGGTCGGTGACGCTCGCACAATTGATGCAGGACGCACTGGTTATGGCGAAGAGGGAGAATGCAGATGTGTTCAATGCGCTCGACGTCATGGAGAATGTCGACATGCTACAACCGCTCAAGTTCGGACCTGGTAGTGGCGAGCTGCAGTATTACCTGTTCAATTGGCGCTGCCCGCGGATGTCTAGCGATCGTGTGGGCGTCGTGCTGTGCTAGATAAGCGGCAAGCCACCGACAGTCGAGTCTCCTGGGTCCATAGTGGAAGGAATTGTTACGATATGCTAAGTGCAAAGTGCCACTGATAATTCCGTCATCCTTGCTACAGTACTTTAAAGTACAGCACTTCGTCCTAAAGTCAGACAGCGTAAACTCATGCCAGAATTCGTCAGCAACTCACGTTTCCACCAGTGCAAGACTCGCCTCATTCTTCCGCAGGACTGCTGCAATCCGCTGGAACTCTCTGACCTCAAGGCGCTGGCGTTCAACACTTGCCGATACTCGCCACCCAGTTTTACCGTCACTTGCTCCAGTACGGGCAAATTCACGTGTCCGAACCCCACAATGAAGACCTTCAAGTCGTACTTGGCGTAATTCGAGCGAATGTCCCCGACTCGATATCACATGGATGGCCATTTGAGAAGAAAATGAGCACGGCCTTGAACTGCTCGAAATTGTTGCGTGACAAAACCTCGTTTGCCACTCGCAATCCCTCTCCAAAACACGTGCCACCTCTGGAATACGGGATCTTCAGCCCTACAATCTCCTTCAAAGGTCTCGCCTCGCAGTGGATGTGGCTGGGGTTATCAAAGCTAAGAAATTCGTCCTTACGCCGGTTGATGGTAAACTCATTACACGCGTACAGCAGGACCTCCCACGGTTGTCCATGCATAGACCCAGAGTTATCCAATACAAAAATGCTGTGAGATTTCCATGAATCGACAGCGTGGACGCACTTAAACTTGTGTCCATCAACATAGCATCAACCTCGGGTTTCAATTCTGGTAAATGCCACGCGCCTAGCAAAAAGTACAAAGCCGAATTGTCAGGTTCGTCGTGTTTTGGTGCATCGCACTGGAATGGGCATTTGGAGAAGAGAATTCGCTCGTCGTCAGTGCACGGATCTTCCCAGCCTATCGTTGTCCAGAATTCAGTGTGCAGCAACTCCTCCATCGCCTTTTCTGGAGGTGGGTACAGCTCCTCCTCGCAATGGCGGCGGTGATCTTTACTTGCGTCGCCAGTGTACACACAGTTCTCACGACCTTTGCCTTCACACGGCAAATAGTGGAGATGCCCGCGACCCATTTTGGCGCAAAACAAATTACAACATTTCAGCAATCCCTTGCTCACCAACTTGATACTTCGAAGTACTTTTGATCCTCGATATCGATATCGTTATCCTTAGCTATGAAGTAAGTCTGCCGCATGTTGCAATGAGAGGTGGCATGTAAGCCCATGTGTCCAAAATGCATGTTACAGTAATAGGCACAGCACGGGCATCGTACATCACAGAAGTGGATCACTTGCCCTTCGCCACGTCTCCACATCGCAGTCGTGTCATTAATACATGTAGAGCTATCTGACTGAGTGTCACTTACTAGCTCGCTTGCCTGCTCAGTACTAGCAATACACGAATGGGTAAGCCCTCCATACAGCTTGGCAGGACCCGCGTGCTTTGCTTCTTGTATCCATTCATCTCCTGGTATACGTACTCGAAGGATCCACGTGCACCTGGATCCGTCCGAGCCGATTTTTTCCTTTTGCTCGCAAATGCCATCCACTTGGCACATATCAGGACACGCGTGACTCCCGAGACACATGTGCGTGGCAGCTGCATCATCCACCGAGTCTTCACTCAGATCTGGTGTAATGGAAACTCCGTTTTCCTCTGCGAACATGCGCGACTCGTTCAGTTGACCATGGAAATGGTCCTTTTCACCGCAAATATTCTTGCATCCTCTCATAAAGCACTGGCGGAGACACTGCACTTCAACACATTTGTGCACAGAGTGATCTCGCTGGATGTCCAGCAGCATTACACAATTCGTGGAACCGCAAATGTGGACTTGAACAGAGCAGCGGTGATCGCCCAAACGCTCTGCCACTTTTGAGCAGGTTTTGTCGCAGTTGGAAGAGCGAGTGGGTAAACACTTCTGACTGCATGTGTGCTCCCCTTTTCGCACTCGCATTTGCCTTCATGATCGGCGCTACGGGTGCACGGCCGAGCACTATCCAACTATGACTCACATTTATATTCTGCATACTCACAATATCCTCGGCACTTGTGGTCTGTGCTGCAGCTGTGTGCGATATCCATCGAGTGGGTAACGGAATGCATGCAGCCAAGCTGGCAGCTTGTACATTGGTGCTGGTAACGCAACAACAAGAGCACCATCGTTGCTCCATCTTGGAGCGTACCTCGCACAAGCGACCATCGAGCACTCCACGAAGCCAGCGTTCAGTCTGCGACGACGCAAAACGAAAGCTACGAAGTCATCAAAGCACTTTTGGTCCTCCGTCGTTAGTCTGGATCTGCCAAATTCAAAAGCGTTAGAAAAACATGAAAAAGTGCCGCCAGAGTCTTTAGAATCTTCTTCCAGCTCTTCGGCTCAACCAACAACCGAGCGATGATACCGCATTACACTGGTTGCGTGTGCTCTTTCACGTGTTTGAGAAGTTCCCTTCGTCATGCAATGTGTAAGAAAATCTCGATTCTGGACTGGACCAGCATGGACAAAAGTAGCCAAAATTTGGTGATCACGGATGTGAAACAAAAGCTGCCCGGTATTCTCCGTACAGGATGCCACGTACCGCAGTCTCTTGTTGCAGATGCGACCATTTCGGATGGTCGTAAAGATCCCGTGCTGCAAGTAGACACTCGTGACAAACTCTTGGTCTCGCTGACAGAAGTGTGTCAAGCATATCGCGGGTCTTAACAGTGTAATCCCGCTGGACCACATTGCAGACGATGCAATTGATTTCGGGCTTGACGTAACTGCGCTACAAGCCTTTTGTTCTTACCCAATCGCTGGATGCGATAGGCGTCGCTGTGGACTGTAGCGCTCATATTCGATGCGTAGATGGCGCCGTCACTCGGATTAGCTACGTAAAGCACTTCATCCACGCAGCCAACCGCTATGCGCCCTTCAATCGTTTTGCTGCCAATATCTGCAGACGGTAATTTGCGGTGGTCTTCACTGGAAATCGAGCCAACAAACAATCGCTTGTAGCCATTAGTTCCAGCTCGACCAAGCACGAGTTGAACTGGAGTGCTGTGCTTTGACGAACTACGAGTTCGTCTGCAAAGCACAGCAATCCTCCCGCCCACTCACTCTTACAGTACCACTGCTGCCATGCCATTCGCGTCTAGCCCGCATAATGATCTTTCTGTCAGCAAAATGTCCACGAACGATCTCAAACGAAAACTAGTATCCGAATCGAGACGTCGCATTCCCTCAAGGTGTGTGAGCGATGCGATTCATCAAATCGATACAGAAATACTGAACCAAGTTCGCCGTCAGTTGCTCCGTACGCGAAAGCCACTCGGCGATCCTCCGCTCGAATAGAACATAGCACGCACTCATGCGGAAATACATGCACTTCCAACAAGACAAGTTTCTGGAAATTGAAAAGTAGCCCTACCGTTTTACCTCCCTTTACAAGAGCTGCAACGATCTGACAGCCTCTAATTTTAGAAGCTGGCAGTCCGGTTCAAATTCCATAATTCCTAAAGGTGTCATTTTCGTGTTATTCAGCCTTTTCGACTTGTTCACTCCACTTAATATTTACTGCAAGAGCAATCGGCGTTGACTCTCAAAGCACTGATCTTTGCTTCCAGCTGCCGGCCACTTGAGTCCACCAAGTACACTCGAAGTCTTTCAAACGCCTCGTTCGTCGCTTTATCAGTTCTCAGTTGCATCTGGGCTACCCGATCGGTTGTCAACTGATCAAGTCTTTTGATGTCATGAAGCTTGTTCACAGCCTTCTCGACCGCATCCACCCAGTGTCGCTGCAATCTGGTCTGGCGAGTATCCATTTCTTGTCGAAATCTGATACACTGTAAGCGATCGTCAACGCCCCACATTCGTCGGATGACACCTCGTGCACCTCTCGTTGCACCTTCCCACCACCACCCATCGTGGTTTCTTCTGTCGATTTCATCAAGTGGGACCCCATTCATGATCTCGTCCAGTATAGCATCAAAACGAGAGCTGTTGTCAGTGTAGGCATTGTCAAGAGCACTCATATTGGCTTGCATCCGTTGGGGTATGAGAAGAGCTGTGGCCGTTTGCTCGTCTAATTCGTTAAGCACGTCGTGCTCATACAAGCGTCTTTCATATCGTGTTTTAACCTTCTCCATCCGCCCAGCGTTAGAGCATCCCGAACCATTTCATCGTAACCGTTTTTAGTCATCTCGAAAATGTCTCCAGCAATGCGCACCTTTACTTTATCATTCTGTTCGCCGAATGTGCTGTACAAATTACGTCCGGGAAGTGATCGAACTTGTGGAGGAGAGAGACGCATATATTCTCCGGAAACACTCGACGTGGAAGCTCGAACGCGTATCGCTGGTGTTTTTCTCCGCTAAATCAGTAGACGACACCAACGACATCATGTCTGTGACCGTAACAACTCCGTTGTTGTTGGCTTTGCGTTTTCGACGGCTATAGCGGGGGAAACCCCACCAATAAACGCGACGTTCCTGATCGGATCGCGTCTCGGAACCAACGACTTCACGGGACTCAAGCAGCGAACACTTTCACTTTGCTCTTCTTGTCGCTGAACTCGGAGCGCAACTGAGCAAGAGCTCCACTGCATCGTTGTGGCGCTCGATGCAGCGTGGACTTCGCTCTGAACTCGGCGAAAGTCTTTCCGAGATAAGCAGCACGTAATGCTGGAGCTTAGCGATAACAAGAGGTGACGTATGCCGGTGTGTCGCGAATGATGTCTGGTTCGAAAAGACTGGTGCTGAGCCACGCAAACGCGACGAACTGCCGACGACCGTCGTGTTCCCCTTCCCGTTCAATGCAGTAAACGCCTTGGTCTTGCAACGAAAAATTACTCTCACACTCAAGACACACTCCAGAAGCCCATACGACCCAATTCAGCTTTCACCTCTAGCTGCTTGCCGAACAGAGAGCCAACATCAAGCTGTTCGTTGCTCTCTTGATCTTCTGTAGTGGTTACTCCACCCATACCTAGCAGCTTCTCACCCACAAATCGGGCAAAGTCTGCATCATATTTGCAGGGGTTGAGCATGCCGAACTCGAACTTGTGCATTAACGCTCTGTTGCCTTCGTCCGATACTGCCATGCCTCGCCAATGGCACACATCAACCTCGTCCACGACTGCTTTCATCACCCTCGCGTCATTCTGCACCTCGTGCATCAAGCGCAGAAGACGGAAGCACTTGTTCAGCACGATAACAGTGCGTCGAGCTTTTTACGGGTCCTCCCTCAATCGACCAAAGCAAGAGTGGGTGACTTTTAAATCCTTCAAGTACTCAACTGTCCGAATCCAGCAAATGTTAAGACAAACTGTAGATGGGCTGCGTAAAACAAATGGACGGGTCTCGAATAGTGCTTTATTCGGTCCCTACAAAATGTATGGTCATGCTACCGTTAACTCACATCCCTCACCTAGAAAGGAAAGATATGGCGTCTACAGCTCTTCGTGCTTCACGGCGTCGTCTGATGAAGCGGACATCGCAGCTTCGAAAGCTTCGAGTCCACCACTGGGCACCGAGAACGGGCTCGAGCCACCAATGAGCTTGTCAAGGAACTCCGAGATGTCGCTTTCATCGTTTGCTCCACTGAGAGCTGGTGGGAATTAGCACAGATAGAAAGAGAGATGAGTACAGCGCAGTGGACCATTGAAAGCTACGCGTACGTACCCGAGTATTTGACCTTGCGACCAGGCTTGACGACAATCACCTCCGCCGAAATCTCACCCACGAACTCAGTCAGAACATGGAAAGCCTGCGCGTCCGGTTTGCTCGACAAGAACGTAAACGGGTCACGACGGTACTTTTTGGCAAGCGAGCGAATCAACTCCGTATCCTCCCTGGCCACCACGACGCACATTTTCCCGCGTTTAGCAGCACACTCGCGAGCAGTTGCTGCGTCCAGCTCCTTCAGAGCAACCACGGGCTTCTTCTTGGCCACTTCAGGAGACGGGAACAACGGGACGTTGGGCAGCGATTCATCATTCTCCGCCGTCTCCGTGTTAGCCAGCGCGTCATCAATAAACTTCTTGGCCGCAGCTTCATTTAGCTTGCTCACATCCGACACGACGTACTTCTGACTAGCCGGGTAGACGTAGATGACCGTTGGAAGTTGATCCTCACTGAGGCCGAAATGGCTGGCGACCTTGTCATCCGACGCCGGCACGAACGCCAGCTGCACCGTAGGCTGTTTCTTCCTCTTCTTCGTCGTCCCCTCCATGAAAGACTTCGCCACATTGCCCAGCCATGCTGGCACCTTGGAGCTCTTCTTGCCCTTCTTTTTAGTGCCAAAGAAAATGGCTGACGGCAGGTCCTTGCTCAAGAAGGCGTGCACCTTGTCGTACTCCAGTGTGGCAACATTGCCACCACTCGCGCCGAGCTTCTTGGCTTCAGGCGAGTTCTTCACATACTGAACGATTTCTCTCGTAGTGCGCCCGCCACGATAGTCCTGCGGGCGTTTCTTCTTTGCGCCGAACTCCTTGATCGTCGGGTAGCCTTTAATCTGGTACTTGTGCGCCAACTGCTGATGCACCGTGGCGTCTACAGCTCCCAAACGTGCCTACAATAGGAGCCGACACAGTGCATAACCCCCGCGTTGTAAGGGTTACTCGTCAGTGCGCTCAGTCCTCTGAGGTCTACTGGAGTCTGAAGCTATGCGTACATGTTTCTTGAGCTTCTTGGCCGCAGCCTTGTACTGTGGCTCCAACTGTTTGCAGTGCCCGCACCTGCATGAATTAGCACACAACGGTTAGTGCATTATAGCCTTTAGTGTTAACGCAGGAGCATTGTGAGCATCCCACCAAGGAGCGTAAAATTCGACGAGCCAGTAGTCGGGACTCTGCAGCACCTCCTTCTCAAAGTTCTTGTCCGTAAGGATCGTCACGGAGTCTCTCGGCCCATAATCGGCCAGCACGCAGGCGGTCAGTGCACTCAGCAACAACAGCGCCAAGCGAACACGTGGAAACATCCCGTCAATTCGGCGAAATGGCATTATGGCAGATACGCTTTTTGTACCAACATGTAGGTACATGGATTGCAACCCCAAAACCATGCAAACATATTTTAGTCAATCAAAATCGAATATTCGCCCTCAAGTCTTTACACTGCAAAACAGGTTGTATTTTATTTTAGCTAATCAAAAGCGACTTTCTTACTTAAATAATATTAGCCACTCATGTGATATTAGGAAGGCACGCCAAGCCGCTGCTAATGATTTGCTCAAGAAATTTGAAGGCACCATGTACTATTTTATTTACAAATTTATTTTACTAAACAGCTTCGGCAGTAGCTGTACGAGCTGCAGGGAAAGCCTCTTCCTCCACAACCCGAACGAAAAGGGCTACGAAAGCACCTAATATAGGTGCTAAGTGGTTAATTAGCTCTCACGCTTTTCACAGTATGTCTATCGAGCAGCACTTACTGTGCTGTAGAATGACTGACGTTACTTTCTCTAAGATGGAGGACATAGAATCGTTATCGAAGCTATGGCTCAGGAACGTCTACCTGCTAGTACACCCTGACAAAGGGTCATTATGTACCGTTGGAGCTGCGTGCAGGGTCGGGTGAGATCCAGATTCGGGAGACAGGCAAAACAATGAGTGTGTACAAAGAAAAAAATGTTTGCAGCAGATACTCACACTCTTTTTGGAGAGCGGATACATTTGCAAGATATCGGGACTTCATTAAGACAGGATACCAGTAATAGGCCAGAGAAAAAAAAACTTCGCGCTGTAAGTATCTTGAAAGTGGACAATAGAGAATATTGGAGCATCATACAGCTTTTCATTCCTTTGTCCGTTTTAAAAGGACGCACATTTGGTGTGTACACAGGGACAGGGAAAGTTTTCATCTTGCCAGCTGAAGCATGTACAGGTGGATGCAGGCAGGTCGACTACTCGAAGTGGATGTACACATCCAGGGATCTTGAGTAGGCCAAAGTGTTGTAGTCTGTAAGACCCTTCATGTATGCTGAGAACTCGCACATCCGTACGGTGACTGTGCGGTCTTCTCGATGATTTAGCTTTTTTGTAGCTAACTCTGACCCCCCCCCCACACACACACTTGCTGACGCTTTCAGATACTAGCTTGGCCAGCTTGACGATATACAAATGGAATCCGTCCAGCGGCTTGGTGCTTCCTAGCTCCTGTCCCATCCAACTATTTGCCTGCTTCGGCAAATTTGAAGTTATCTCGTTAAATGTCGGCAAACCAAACGTTTCGTTAAAGCTGTACTTGGTCTTTTCAATATCGCCAAGATAAGCTGCTGCGGTTGAGTGATCTACAGCCAATTCACTCCGAAATAATTTGTAGTCTTGCTCACAGTCGCTGCGTGTCATACCACAGATCTACACGCGGTCTTCTGTAAAAAGCTTGCCGCGTCCTCGCTGGGTGTTATCCATTATGTGGCATAAGCAGAACCTGTGTCCTGCGTGAGGGAAGACTTGGGCAATTGTGGGAACCAAACCCTTCTGCCGGTCTGACAAATTTGTGATTTTCTCCATGGATATCGCCTCTTTTAACGGCTTACAGAAACCAAGTCTAGTTGAAGTGATCCTCATATGGAACAAGTGCAAGTCCAATGGGGACAATGTGTTTGTAGTAGTCATTCACAATCGCGACCTATTAATAGTAGACTCATTGCTCGCCCATCTCCTCTTTATGATGCACGCCGTCAAAACCGATGAGCGGCCTGCATCTTTGAGAGATGTGAATACCAACATTTTGGATAAAGCACGCTAAATCAAATGTACGTCCGTTTGCAGTTGTTTTGAAGCGCCAGACGGACCCGGTTTTTTCTAAGTGCCATCAGTTTGAATTGAGCTTTAACTTCTGGTATATTTTGGTCAAGTCACCGTGTAATTTGTCGTCGATTTTCTGTTTAATGACGCTACGAAGCTCCCACACCGCGATTTCACATTTACAAAACGCTTGATGCCCCCTACTTATCGTACGCGTCGAACCATTGTGAGATGGAAGCATTTTGATCTCGACCATAGCTGTCAACTTAGATATCTGCTGCGCTTTATTACGTTTCAATTTGGCGCAACGAGTAATTTTGTCTTCGTACCCACGAGTTTTAGGTGATTATGGGCAATTTTTGCTTGGGTGATTTTACATCGTCCCTCTTTTCCATGTACAATCACGAAGAATGGGCAAGACAGGTCATCGAAGGAAGGCGACATCTGGTCGAAATATTGCATTCCATTGAGTTTCTTATATGCGATGTTTGCATTACCGAAGCTATTGTCTTTTACACTGGTCTGTTGAACAGAAATCTGGAGCCCACACATAATTGCTTGCACTTGTTTTGAGCTTCCTTTTAAGACGAGAGGACCAACTTTGCGATATTTTGTCTGTGCTCGTATGCGAGACCGTAGATAGAGCCGGAAGAGTCATGTGCCCCCACGAGCACAGCACCCCCAAGTTCACGCGCGGTTAGTTTGGCGGGTTCCGTGACCGAGGCTTAGCTATTTTCTGAATGCAATTGGAGAAATGAAAATTTGTACTCTTACTCCGAAAGATGATACAGCTTGCCGATGTGTCGCACACTGATTGGCTGGTACGAGATAACCTCCTTTGCAATAAGTACCTAACATATTTCTACTGTGCTCTGGAATTAAACCTCTTGGGGTACAGTCCAGTACTGTAGTTGTTTTACTGGTTTATGGTAATTTTTCGTGGAAGCTTCCAGTTTGTGCTCGGGACATCTCCCAGAAAGATGTTGCAGTGCAGCTTGCACAGACGCAGGAGGTGAAAAGCTGGCTAAAGGTAAGGGATATCGTGTGCGCACAGTAATAAAAGAAGAGAAATGGAAGCGGTTGCCCGACAAGAACCCGGAGCCGGCGCTGATGACACAGCAGGGGTCAGCTGCATTTTACCCGTCCACCAAACCTTGGACAAATTTTGGTAAAAAAAGGCAACCCTTCCCTTAACAAAACCCACAGTGACAATCGTATCATCTTCCGAATCGGCGCTTACCATACCTGATTTGGAGGGGCTTCGATGCTGCGATAGTTAGTAAGGTCGGGCGTAGATTTCGAATTTAGGCTCTATTTTTCGCGATCTGCAAGCCCTTGTCTCCATTTCGGCTGTTTAAAAAGGCTCTATTTCTTGCAGAATTGCTTGCAATTGTGGGCCTGCCACTGTACATTGAAATTTATTGTCAGAACCAGGATAACAGGTGAAGATTTTTTGAACCGGATGGTTATATTGCAAATATTATCGTAATTCGACGATTGTTAGAAAACTATGAACTTGCTAAAATTAACCTGTCAAAGGAGTATCTAAAGTATAAAGAACATACAATGGGCCACTTGCTCAGAGTTCTAATCAGCTACCGCTTCATTGTCATTGATTGTAACGGGGTACGTAGCACTAAGTGTACCCTGGTTACATGAAGTGTGACACTTCACACTTCAGGAGTATGACATGTCATACTCCGGGATATTTGGTACAAGGTACCAAGGTCATTCAAAACCAACCATTGGTTTTATGACATTGCATTTCTACAGGTAACTGATAGTTTGTATTAACCTCAAACTTAACCTACCTATAAATATACTCAGTTTACAATCTACCTTATTTAGGTCACTTCGCTCTCTTTAATTAAAGAGGGGACCTGTGAACTGCCGTTCACTGAGAGTTTGTATACTCTCGGAAGATAACTTCCTCTAGCGCAAGGTGCTGTGTGACCCCGTCACACTTGGTAGCACTTGTAGTCAATCCACGCCATCGCGGGTAGACTACCTGAACCTCCGAAGTTCGTTGCCATGGATAGGAACGACTTCTCCCATATGAACGACTCTCAGTTCGAGTCGGTTCGGAAGATGGCAGGCATCTTCGGGATGGAGGCCCTGCAGAGCCTGGTGGTATCAACACCGGCTGAGCAGCTCGAGCGCGTCAATGCATTCGACGCGTACGAGCAGGGCCTCATCGCGCATGTGCGGGAGAACCTGCAGGCTCCGGCGGCGGAAGCAAACCCGCCTCACCCGAAGCCAATACGGCTGAAGGTAAAGCCGTATGAAGGGAAGGAAGGCGAGAACCTTCACTTCTGGGTCCGAGAAGTAGAGCTCGCGATGGACGCGGCTCTGATCTCGACCGAGCAACTGCGTGTTGCTTTTGCACTCTCCAACCTTAGCGGTCGTGCTAAGAGTTGGGTGTACACTCGGGAAGCGACATCCCCTGGATGTTTCACATCCTGGGCTCAGCTGTGCGAACAGCTCCGAGCCGCGTTCCTTCCGGGCGAACTACGAGTACCGCCAGCGTTCGCGCTTCCTCGCGTGTAACAAAGGAAGACGCGAACTGCACGAGTATGTGCCAGAGATACGGGGAGCTCACGGCGTCCCCTAGTGGGAAAACCCACTCATTGAACACATCAAAGATGACTGTGTTCATGGGACGGGCCTTCGAGTGGGCCGCCGCACGCACTCAGCTGATCCCGGGTGCAGGCAAGCACCCTTTGAAGAGGCGATTTCAAGGTGGCTCTTTCAAGAAAAATACAGCCATCGCCAGGCGGGGTACGCCGGCATCAGGTGGGCCCGGGAGATTCTTTGGTGGGGTTCCCGGTCCGAACAAAGCCCCAACGG